CGTGAAAATGTGAAGCTCATCGATTTGGGTGACGACGCGAGGAACATATTCTTAAATGTTAAAGAACCGAACGACAAAGGAAAATCGCTTGCACACCGAAACATGGAAGCACCCATTAGTATCACAACAGACGCATCCGAAACAGCGATCTCAGGAATCTTAATCCATAGGTAAACAACACTTGACAACCTTTGGCATTATTCTCATGATGGTTGGAAGACACTGAATCGAGGTTTAGAATTTTCTTAATGTAACTTCTAGCCATGTATTGTGCTGTACCGCACTTACAACATTCCGTTTTGTTGTGACTTCATGGTCAGCTAGTTATCACGTAATCTATTTGTCAATCAAAATACGACTTATTCGCACTTATACTGTACTAAACCAATGACGTTCGAACGGTCTAGTTGGCCGAGCGTCCTATTGGTCCGTTGCTCGCTTAGCCCGTCCAGCTGAGTCCAAAATGCCAACAACAGCCTTCCCTATGGGAATCGAATCATTTATATATATATATATATATATATATATATATATATATATATATACCAAACAGACAAACCGCAACGCAGCATAAATAGGAAATACATTTTGTACAAAATACAGCCAAAAGTGGCTGTGAGCGTGGGAGGCAGTGGTCAATAAATTGAACAAAGCTTAAGAACAGTAAATCGTACAATAATCATATATAGGTCAAAATAAAGCTTATAACAAGGGGAATATAGATACACATAATCTAGTTACTGAATATTTATGCCATCAAAATATATAAATAATATTAGTCTTTTTTTAATATGGCAAGTATAATGCTAACATTATTAGAAATTGTGTATTATTGCATTTTTTGAAGAAACCCGAAATGGTTTCTTCACAACACATATGTACCCATAAGATGTTTGTGAATAATAATAATAATAATAAGTCTCAGACGGTACTCGTAATGTAATCTTCACTATGATATCACACGTTGAAGGCCAAGAATTCACTCTTCAGCGATCACGAACCTCCCAGTTTTTGTCTAAGCTCGTCTCTGAACAAGCATTCCCCTCGAGAGTATCAACAATTAAACGACATTTCGCAATCGAATTCAGATATACAACACGTTCCGGAGGCAAAAAGTGAAGTAGCAGACTCCTTGCTTCGTATAACTTCCTCAGACAATTTCCAAAAGATCAAATTCTCTAGCTCTCCCAGCTTAATAAAGAAGACACTAATCTTCAGCACGAGTTATCTCCAACAACACTGAAACTACGAACCAAACAGGTGGGAACAGGTAAGGAAACATTACTATGTAACACATATACAAGCACGAATCATCCAATGGTATGTATATTTATTTTCTTCGCCTACGAAAGAAAGCTACATTTCAGCAGTAATCCAAGAGGAAATAAACAAGTTGTACGAATGGACTGTTTCGTGGAATATGCCACTTAATGTTGACAAAAGTGGATTTATTCACATTGGTCGCTGCCTTAACTTAAATCTGACTGTACAGACACATACACTCAAACCTCTCAACACTGTTCGTGACCTGGGTTTAAGATATAGCAACAGTCTGAACTTTTCTGAACACATTATATCTCAAGTATCCAAAGCTAGAAAGCTCATCGGATTGATAATGATAAACTTCAATAATATCGAATCGAGATTGTTATTATACAGAAAATGTATCTTACCCATTCTTGAATATGGTATTTTAGTTTACAGTAATTGCAGACATAATGACCTGATTAAAATTGAAGGTGTTCAAAGAAAGTTCACCAAAGCTGTTCTGGGTATTCCGATAACAAAGACTATCACCAAAGATGTCAACAACTCAACTTAGAACCTCTTTGGATCAGACGTATCAAATTAAATCTTGTCTTTATCTACCGGCTTATTAACGGTATTTCCTACTCTTCGGTATCCACCCCTTCATACCTTATGATATCATCCCACAATCTACGCAATAAGGAGAATATTCTAGCGATTCCAAGAACCCACACAAACTTACGTCAGAATTTTTTCCTTATTCGCTACTCAACCATGTGGAACAGACTGCCAGTGAACCTCCGTTGCAGTGAAACTACAACCCGGTTCAAAAGTCTCCTTGACGATTTTCTTTCCGAAAGTGGATTATGTCACCTATTGAATATCAATGTATTCAATAATGATTTATACAAACAAGGTCCGTCATCCATTTAATTGCTTGAAAAGCAAAATAAAACCTTTAAATCTTTCCACATCTATTTTATTTTTATTTATCTTAATATATGAAATCTGATTATGTTCGTGTTTATCATTATTTCCGTTATTAATATCATTATTAGTTCCCCGACACATTAGATATTCTTTTTATCTCCTTATCCTTCTAAACATATTTAACTCCAGATTGTCCTTTGAAATCAATTTTGACTTTCATAGCATCAATCTTAATTATTATTGCACAAATATTTATACTAATATCCGGTTTCACTCTGTATACTATTACATAAATCTAAATGTATTCATCCGAGTGCTTTAACGGATTTTTATTTTATTTTTCTAATTGTTGGTTTCCTTCTGAGGTTGATATTCATTACACAATTATTATTCTTATCATGGATCAAAACTTTTCACTAAGTGTTCACTTCTTTTCTCTCTTCTTTCCCTCTAAATAAATATTCTTAAGATTACGAAGTTTGTAATTAAACAATAACTTGTGTTACACTTAAATTAACTTCTCAGACCCGTTTTATCTTCACTATGCATATATGTCTCATACATATTGATATTTCATTATCCTTTTCACTCAATTGAGACTTTCATAGCATCACTCCAAACTATGACTGCACAAACATTTATTCTAGCGTCATATCTTACTGCAATTATAAGTTGTTTTTTCTTAATTATTTTTTGTTACTAATTTGACGATATATACATAGTCGTTTGTTCTTCTTTTATGTTCATAAACACGCCAATTAAACTGTTTGCGTATTTCACGTCTCCTTTATTTCTATTCCCTTATTTTCTGCATTTCCTTCTTTAGACTCAATTCAATATTCTTCTCAATTGCACAGACCCGATTTATTATTATTAATATTCTACTATTATTACTCTAAAATTTTTTTAATATGGCAAGTATAATGCTAACATTATTGAAAATTGTGTATTATTGCATTTTTTGAAGAAACCCGAAATGGTTTCTTCACAACACTTATGTACCCATAAGATGTTTGTGAATAATAATAATTATTATTATCGGCACAACGTCTTCAATACGTTGCATAGGCCTTCTTATCCAGGTGTTCATGCAATCACCAAACTCATAGCAGAATGATTTTGCTGGCTTGGGATGAATAAAGACATGAGGAAGTGCACACACTCACGTGTGGGCAGCCAGAAATCTAAGTTGATAAGACACAACGAATGTCCCATAGACTCATTCATAAAACCCGACCCTCGTTTCAACCATGTTCATCTGAATTTCGTAGATTCTTTACCAGATTCAAATGTATAATCTTATCTCGTAACTCACGTAGACCTTCCCCTCGACGACCAGGAGCCACCAATGATATTACGGCCGGAACGGTGACCGACGCCTTCGTCGAAAGACGAGTAGCAAACTCCAATCTCCCTTCAACTCTCACTCCAAACCGTGGACGCCAGTTCGCATTTGGACTTTGCTCTTATTTAACTACACTATTAAGAACCGCACGATCACCTATCATCGAAAAGCGAACGGGTTGGTGGAACGCTTTCATCGACAGCCTAAGGCTTCATTCTCAGTTGCAAGCGTTTCACAGTGGACGGACACTCTCCCACTCGCATTATTGTATACTTACAATGAGGTGCGATCCTGGTTATGTATTTTGGTGTACGGCACTGTCAACAGTCGATGGAAGGTCAAGAATATACTCTATTTGTCGATCACTTATCTCTTCACCTTCCTTACAACCGGTCTTGACACAAGCACTCTTCCCGGGTATCGGTAACTGGACTACATCTTATAGTCCGCTTTAAGTATGTGGCGGCAAACAATGCAGTCGCGGATGGGTTTCCCCGTCAGAGATAGCCTTTGTTGAGATGTCGTGAGGCCCGAAACTATCACTAGTAAACGTACCTATTAAAATCGTGCGGTAATTTCTTCACTTCTTCAAAGAATCATGTACACGAGTCTGTGACACCGCATTTGGTGTTGCAGAACTAGGCTTCGATATTATCAGTTCAGAGTAACATAGAATGAAAAATGCTACCTATGTTTTATTCTGAAACAGTTTGGGTGTCTTTAGCGTCATTTTGGAGGTGAGATATATAAATTGAGGAAGAATTCTTAGTACGCACAAATAGTATCATAATATGCCTAAAGAAAATATTTCTTACGTCACCACAAGAAACAGAGTCCGTTTTTCGGCAAACCAGATCACGCCGATCTCATTGCTAAAAATGTAACGGATATTCAGGATTTAACACATCACCCATAATACTTTTATGATCGAAGGCTACCAACCTAGTCAAGTCAGAAGTCAGGAATGAATAAGTTCGAAATTATATTTGGAAAGTTTAAACATGTCGATAAGCGTTTGGTCTAAGGTCATCTAAGAGTTGTGATTGATGAGTAGTACAACGCATTCACTCGTGATTCTATAAGAATGCGTGACCGAGCACCTTAAGATAGGGTGCGTTTGGTAAAACTAGTGAAGTTCCCACCAATGTTAAACTTACAAAAATAGTTATTTCGAGGACTTATTTACCACAACAAATGGAAGGGAATGGAGTGAAAATCTAAATAATCTATCATATCAGAAACTAAAAAATTTGGCCTTCAGTGTTAACAAAAGGTTTTGTATGAAGAAACACTCACGGCTGCTGTATAAACGTTTTGTCATTTCCTAACGGTTTGACAATTCCATACACTTATTTACAAGTATGTCAGTCTGGTTAACCTATTTTTGGAGCACAAAACCGACGTAACCAGAGTTTATAATGTATATAATCCTAACATAGCAGCCACACACCACGTTTACACATATGAACAACAAATTGCAACATAGGTTTACAGATAATATACTACTGTTTCAGTTACTAAATAAATACAGTCAGTCAAAATATGTGATAGAACATTCATGCAGATATACCAATAAGTTAACAAGTGGGTTTGTTTTAGTACTGTACTATGAGTCTACTACTGTTACATTCTGTTTAGAAATGGCACCTCGTAAAAACTGCGACGTTGACGAACCCACAAATCCCTAACCTGCACATTTGAGCTTTACAATCGTGGTGCTAAAAAAGATAAAAAGAAAAAACGAGTGTGAGAATAAACACCAGGAACACTGGTTGACAAAACTCGGCTGTTTGCGAAGGAAGAGAATAAAATATATCAATTAGCAGGTAGAATTCAAACTAATTATTGACACAAATAGTGTCCATGAGTCAACTAACTGGTAAGTAGCTGATAACGGAATCGTGAGATGGACTAGTTGGTACCATCCATACCGCGTTTTGGATCTGAGCAATCCATTAAATAGGTCTGAAGTCTCAGTAAGGTTTCTTTGAAGCAAAAGCTAGTTAAAACTAGGTCATTTGAAAGTTGAGTAATTAGTCTTGTAGGTGTGTACTGAATATTTCTCGGGGAACGCTAACCTGTGAGTCATTATCACTGACAATGAATTATCCCTATTGCATTCATGAGCCAGAAGATATGTCCACCACCACCTACTATTATTGCTAATGACACAATTCAGTAAGTTGCTTTTCTCTTGTGCGAAAAAATTGACCACTTTTAGTGGAACATGCATATATCTACAAATATTTTTGGGATAGATCTGTTTATTAAAACCAGGTTTTCATTTAATATCACGGGAAAAATTAGTTTGACTTCTACTAGATGGACGGAATGATGGGCACTCACCATAGCCTTTGAAGAAGGCTGAAACTCAGAATAAATGGTCGTGAACTAAAACTGATGGTCAAGCTTTATAGCAGTGTGAAATAAAGTGCTTACTGGAACGACGTCTAACAAATTCAGGTCCTACGATATCTTAGTCAGTCACTGAGCTCATATTTTGTTGTAAAAGAATGCTTAAATTGATCTAGATAAACAGTTAGCTGGTGTTGTGTAGTTACACAACACAGACATGATAAAGTGAAGACGCTCAACGACGTTTTATCCTGCATCTTCTGCCATACAAGAAGGCCGGCGAATCTAAATGCCACGAAATACACCGTAAGATAAGAAAGGAGGGATTGTGATAAGGTTAAATACCAGGACCTGGAAATATCAAAACGGAACTATCGCAGACAAAACTTCAAGTTTGATAATTAATTTCCAGAACCGTTTCTCGGTGATTTTGGGGAGTTAAACTGAAAAAATAAATGTTTGGATATTATTCTTTGGTAATGCAAAACAAACTGGATGTGCCCTGGTGTTAGCTCAATTATGAAAGACAGTCAAAATAGATTGGCTGACTTAGCTTAAACAGAATATAAGTTCAACACGAAATTGAAAATCGCACAAACTTTCGAGATCGAATTCGTCCGAGGGCACTGGTTCTCTCGAGATTACAGGCAACCTTTGCTGACGAAAGCTAAGTAGCTTGAAACCCAGGTCCGGGGCTTCCCATCGTCTACCTCCTACATCTCGACATAGTACAGGCGACGTCCACTATTGACCAGATTGCAACGTGATTGATATAATCCAATCTGCACTAAGAAGGACCCGACACACATGACATTGGTCACTACCCAGTGATCAATCAATTGTAAGTCGAAGTATCCCAACCAAAGTCTGACTTCATAACGGTATTTATTTCAGTGTTCAGCATAACGTCTGAAAGCTAAAATTTATCTTACAAAAATGAATGTTCTGAAGGCTGCTACACTTCCTCGACTCTTAGTGAACGTTAAAACTACATAATAGCAAAACATCATACGATTTTGTGTAACCACAATGGCAGTGTAGTATTAATGTAACCAAATTGGAACAGACCCATTCTCAACATAAAAACACGACCCTCCATCAGCATTCACGAGACGACCATCACCACTACCTTCATTTATACTAGTCCGTACCATGAAACCTCTAAGGGATTGGTCGATAGGGTACTAAGATGTTTGTGGCACATTTATCAGGCTAAAAACCCAGTTTATCTATTTTCCTTTTGGCCCTTGAGATATTATTAGGTTGAATCGGCAATATACTCTTATGAGATCGGCTTATGAGATGGTTACTTTTTGCGAAGTATTGGTAAAGCCTTGCAAATGAAGTAAATAGTAATTGTCTGGAGTAACCGAACTATTAAGGACTTTAAATTGAGCACAATGTCGAACGTCGTTGTTCTCCTGGAATATATGCAGTGGTGGAGTAGGAGGGCTATTGGAGGGTAGTGTAATACCCTATTTCAACATCTTGTCAAATTCTTTAGGATTGAAAGGTCAAAAGAAATAGAAGACAGACGTCTTTCAATTCCAAAATGGTGTACATACTTGTCCCAGATTTTCTAGTTGAAAAGTTGGTTGTGACAGACTAAGAAACTGCTTCAATAGGTCGACAAACTTACCAGTGTTGTGTTATGGTTAACAGGTGAATAGAGGTTTTCATGGATATGGTCCTCTCAAAGTCGACGTTGTGATTAGTGCATATCAGAATGCGGTTCCTGGAGACGTCCTCTAGATAGCTGAACTGTTAGAAATCAGTGTAAATTATTGGTAAGATATCATCTATGAGAAGTACCGTGCTACTCTTGAAGTTTATTATCATCTGTCGACTGACACAGGTTCATCTGAGAGAAACTGGTGACTTAGTGTAACATTGGGGTCTAGTCTTTGTTTGTCCAGTGTGGTAGATGACGCTTGAATATGTCCATCGGAGTGCGCCCCGGCTTTTCTATCTGTAACAAACACGAAACGAATGTCTTGACGGTTGTAGCCGACAACCGAAGCCGTCAATTATTGTCGGCCAAAATATTCCCCTGGCACTCAAAGTTAAGATAAATTGGCTTTGTGCACCGTCTAGCACTGCTCTGAAATATATTAGGATACTGCTTCTGGATCTAAGTCTTGAGACTTGACAAGGTGTCCATTGTAGTCGTGGGTGTTACCTGCCCCGCTAATGTATTTACCGTCTACCTATGATCTGTAAGTTGAGCTCTGATCAAACCATCCAGCAGGTAAGCCACTGAATGCCGAACAGTTTAGCGAGCTATCCTAAGGTCAAACAACGCGTATTAATCGTAACACGCCATGGATTGACGTATGCAGCAGTGGTTGCACTATTTCCCCAACCTATTATTACTAATACACTTCTTTAATAATGTCATGCCAGTACAACACGGTAACTTGAAATGATAATTCATGTCCAGTATTAACCGCGGGATGTGATCTTGATGTAAGCCAGGTCAATCAACATGAGTAGACCGAGACCATCCACATAGATCGCCTACATTGATGATCTATATGCTTTATGTATTTCTTGACAACAATCGGTCGAAATATTGTAATGATTTTATGCCAAAAACAGAAATGTATGTTTTATTTATTACCATGAGTGAAGAGCTATGAATCTTACCTTGTCACGTATTAACGAGGCATCCTAGAAATTACACTGAATACTATAACAAATGCAAGTTTTATAATGATAAAAAAGTTAACAAGCGAATAATACAATCTAAGAAATGGAGAAAACACTAACATATTTATGATACACTAAGAACTTATTTTTGGTACAGTTTCGACCACCAGTAGTTGACAGCTTTATTTGTCGAATTGCACAATACTTCCAATCCTCTTTGATTTTCAATAGTTAGTCCGAAAAACATACTGGGTAAATTCTTTGCATCCCGTTCACGTTTCACCGCAGCAGAGTAAGTTGACACACAATTGAGGATAGCTAAATCGATTCTACCTAACAATGCCAAATCTTCTTCAGGTTTTCGATTAGGTTCCCACACAACACGTTTTACCTAATAATCATTTTAAGAAATGGAGTCATATTTATAATCAAGTACTAATTGTCCAAAAACACTGAAAACACAACAAAATAGTAAACAAGCTCTTTTTCAGATACAAACCGAGAAACGATTGATAATCAGTAGGAGGTACATGCATGGAAGTGTGAAGGAATTTTCAATTACCAATAAGTTGACTTCATTTACCACATTTGATTTTTATTTAGGACAAACTTTAAGGAACTCAAGACTACAAGTGCTGCAACTATGATTCAATTCCATTCAAACTGTTAAGAGAATTGAAACAAATGATCCAGGTCCATGAGTAAGCCGCAATCAAGCGTTATATTGTAGTAAAAACGAATCGAAAACATGCATAGACAACTGAAAAAACGAACTTCGATTACTAGTTACCATGTTTTTACTTCTATAACACTTCAAGATACTTGTGGGGTTTCTACATAAATCGTGTAAACGTTGGATTTCGATAGTTTAAGTCAAGAGTAAATCGCTGAAGTATATTGTGCTCATATTGTAGTGAACAGAACACGAGTGGGTACAATCGAATGTATTGGACACAAAATTACAGAGCATCTCAATAAAATCTGAGAACCATATATCAAATAGTTAATTTGCAAAATGTCCACCAATTGTTTCAAAATGCCTCAGACTTCATTCTCCTTGCATTTCCATACAAATTGCATTCTATTCCCGCTCTGGCTTTCTTGATATTCCCCCATCTTCTGCTGCCAGACATTACATTCCTGACTCGCGTCATATACTACTTATATCAATATAAGTAGCACGCACCACAATATGACAGGTCATTAGCGATAAACAGAAATTTAGGGTTCATTCTACAAAGTCCAAAGTCTGCACCTCTAGACAGACTCCCTGACCAAAACCTTCTATCTGTTAGTACAAATGTCGAGATCAAATCCCAATAACGTTATCGTTTACTGTTTCAGTCGATTTACAGAATGTGCGGATATTCTCAATTTGAAACCAAAGACTGCTAATAGACGCCTGTGGTCAGTCGGCAATTTGAAATGTTTACTGGGTAGATGGAGTGCCGTAAAAGCAACCAATGGTGTCTCTTCTACACATGACCATAGCGTCTTCACGCTGTTGTCTGTGTTCTGGATGTATGCATCACTGTTCTACTGCTTCGTTTTGGAATTCATAACAGCACCCACTTCGTATGCAGCTGCACATGTTAACCGGAATTTCAATCATAGTGCATCAAGAGGTCAGTTCCGACCAGTTTTTTTAGTTCTTTAGAGGCCGTCTATCCAGTTTCATTTGATAGTCATTCCGAGTAAATAGTAAACTAGTGTCTGTTTCTCGTGTAGAGGTGGAGAAAATGCTTAATATTAATTATCCAGTACTAAGGGACGTAGAGTAGATACGTTATGAGGTGCAGGTATTCTCTAGATTGATTCAGTTCTTTAGGGTCAGAGAGGTGTTTAGAGCTATCGATATGCACTCCCAAACACAACTTACGAGAAAAAAAATCAATATTGATTTGGGTGAATTTCCGTTACATTAAATTATTCATTGCTTATGAACTTTCAATACATTTTCACTATGATTTGTGTTTAGCAAAAAACACAGTTTATAAATACTAATCATCGTAATTGATGCATAAACGATTAACTTGAATGTATTATCAACAAAATTTCCATTACTCAACTGGTCTTTTTACCCTTGTTACCAGGTAGGAAAGATGAGGCCATATGAAGTCTCGTTCAATTTATTAAAGTCGTAGTTGCAGAATATTACCATAGAGCACGAATGCATCACTCCGCAAGTTGGAGATAGATGAATGATCCGCTAACAACTAGCTGAGCGCCGACAGTTTCTGCAAAGGCACAGCTGAATGAATTTCTATGTAACGTAAGGTGATATTTGTTAAGTTCAATACAAAGCAATTTCAATAATAGCGTATTACACTCCATGAGTTTTATTGGTGTGCAAACTGGACGCTAAAATGTTTATGTAACGTCAGTGCCATTTATTGGATGGAATAATAGTTTCTGGTGTGGCGCATTTAAATCTGGTGCCCCCTTGTACCAATGTTTATGTGTTCAAATAAATAAATATATATTAGTTTCTGAGTCACAAGTAAACATGAAGATATTGTTGATATCTGTGTACACTGAAGAATTTTGGTTTAATATACTTGAGATTGCTTCTGAGAAAGGTTTCATATTTCCAGCAACTTAAGACATTCTTCTAATAACTGCTTCGATGTTTGTGCATTTATATTTACACCCCCGATTTTCAAGAAAGTGGTTTATTCCTATGCAAATAAAGCCTGAATAGAAATATCTCCTTTTCATTCTTGCCTACTGGCTGCTTCTACTACCTAACGACAACACTTCAAACACCATATACTCCAAACGTTGCCACAGAAAAAAAGTTTTTGAAAGGTAGCGCTGTATTTCCAAAAAATCAAAAATGTGGTACGACAATCTTATTTATGTAATGATGAGAATGACCTTGGATAAATACAAAAAACAAACTGAGAGAACAAGTAATCAATTAAGAATAACGAGACGTTATCGAAGACTTGTTTACTCATCAGAATTATAATTTATTAACCAAAGGAACAAATCTAAATAATTTGAAACCTTCTTAGAGGCTGTACGATGAGTAAAGCAAAGTGAACCGCACATAATAGTGGGTATTTGACAAATTGAAATCATTAATTTAATCAGTGCATTATCATTTACTTATAATTTACGTCGTCATTATTTTCAAGTGTTCTTAAACTTCCTAAATGTACGCAATATAAACCAGAGTTAGTTGGTCTACTGTTTTATCTGAAGAGTATGGAATTGTAAACGAAGACTAGAACTAATGTATTTTATAAAAATGTCATAGTAAACAGTCCATAGTAGAACAAAAAGCGTTTTTATCAAGTGAAAATTCCGAAAAAACTTATATGAAACAAATGTATTTGAAAACAAGTCGGAAAACAATTTCACCTCATACAATATCTACTGCAAAGACAAGAGAATCTTACAGCTAATGTTGAACATTTTTCTAATCAGTGATCAATTTTTCGTAATTATTACTGATTATGTTTCACATGAACAATTTATGAATAATGTTGCTTAACGTTGATTTGCTGAAGTACCAATAGATGAAGATACCCATATTTTCGAAACTACTTAGAGAACGGGACGAGTGCCTCAACAAAAGTATGATATACACCAAAGTTAGTGCATTGAAGACTGGCCATTATATGGGTCACATAGTGGATGAAAAGATGGGCAACTGTTAGACTTGGCTACCATTATAATACTGCCCAGAAAACTACATGAACCTACTTGGAAATAAATAAATAAATACAAACAACCGTTGGCAAATTTTTTTATTTATTTCAACACATAGATATTGGTACAAAGACGCACCAAATACATATGCGCCACACAAATCTCATTCGATATGTGTGAGGGCTGTGATACTGCCCGGGTACCCAAACCGAAGCAGGTGGTTTTCTTAGGGGGCCACGCCCAGAGCCTTCGACCTGAAGGTCTGATCCGCAAGGCAGTGGAGCATCGTAAGGAGATGCAGTCCCATGGAAGCCGGTGACCAACAATTGGTTCATACGCCATTTGTTCCCGCAGGATACTGGGGCCCATGTGCACCATTGGTTTGGGATCCGGTTAAAGCGCCGGACATTGGCAAATACGGATACAACCATAGGTGATCTAAAATAGTTTCAAAAAGACTGAAACTCCGAGATGTAGAATGATAAAACAAAGGACAATGTAGAGGTAAAGTCATACCGCCCCCAAATGCCCTGGTACGGCCGAAAGTATGGAGGGTCCGCTCCCCCTCTCGAAATGCTCTCACTTGGCCACGAGTATATAGCCTCTGCCAGGGAAGTCCTACTCATTGCCTTCTCGCACCACGGGTGTTGTTTACGAAATTGAGGACGAAAAGCGAATGTCCGGCGCTTTAACCGGGATGGTGAACATGGAGAGTCCACCTAGGGGAATTGAACAACCCTCATTCCAAACCAATGATGCACATGGGCCCCAGTATCCTGCGGGAACAAATGGCGTATGAACCAATTGTTGGTCACCGGCTTCCATGGGACTGCATCTCCTTACGATGCTCCACTGCCTTGCGGATCAGACCTTCAGGTCGAAGGCTCTGGGCGTGGCCCCCTAAGAAAACCACCTGCTTCGGTTTGGGTACCCGGGCAGTATCACAGCCCTCACACATATCGAATGAGATTTGTGTGGCGCATATGTATTTGGTACGTCTTTGTACCAATATCTATGTGTTAAAATAAATAAATAAGTCGTACCACTTGTTTGATAGAAGTGTATAGATGCCAAAACATTTTCTTCAGAAACCTACCTCCTATACATCCATATGCGATAAAAGGTGAATCAACAACCTTAACACTAATCAACCATAAGACTTATATAAATCGTGTCCTGCTTCATCTAATATTAAAGCTAAGAAATTAAAAGAAATCTTATAATTATACTTCAAAGACCATATACAAACAAATAGGGACTAACCGCAATAAACTCATTTGTTCAAAGAGGTGTTTCACTCTCAAACTTTGATAATTTCATAAATCGACCGATAAGAATCAAGTGACCCTTTGAATTCTACATGAATTCTTCGTAATAAATGAAATGCATCAAATACGACAAATCTTAATTTATGAAGACGACACATAAATCTAACCAGTTGTTATAAAGTAGAAGTTTCTCAGGACTAGTAAGAGACGGCGCTTCGCTTCTACTTGGGGATACGGTAAAAACAATGGAAGAGCCTGTAAATATTAATCGATACGTCATTACTAATGGCGACTTGGTTAAAATAACAAACACACACAATAATTAGTATATCCATCAATATAACTTATAACGACTGATTATTTAGTATCAATTACATATTTCTACTTTGGCTTTCTTGGAATATCTCTACGGAATTTCAATCGTTTTCATCGACAAATGTTAGACACTATAGCTTCTAATTTATTTCGAATGGAGTCTTGCTGTATTTTTTTCATACTTTATATGAAAAAGTAACTAGAGGTCTTTCGAGAGAATCTTAGTATAACTATTTTTTAAGAGATACTCATCTACTAGTTAAGAACCTTGATACAGATGAGGTTCTCAGTGAGGACAAAAATTGATTAAACAAACTATCCATCGATGACATACCAAAAATACTTGTTACTACAAATACTACAGACTAAATAAAAACTCCATAAAAACCTATTGTATATGAACGCCTTGACATTTTATAGATTTAAAAATGTAAGGAAATTAAACATTCAACTGAGTAATTGCAACACTTAGAAACAATATTTTCAAATATTTTTAAAAGTTGATTAAAATAAATGAAATCTCTTCACTTACAGTTGTATCAGTAAAGTGACGGCGAATTAATGACAACATAGGATCATTATCAGTAGATACATATATAGTTTTTGCTTTAATTAAACGAACACCGTACGAAATTGTATGAAGAACTAATTCTTTTGAGGGGATGCACATATCTTCTGTTACTTTGTAAGGAGGAAGTTCATTAAAATCACCATGGCACTGAGCGCTTGAGAACAAGATACGTAAACCACTTTTTAAATGTGAGCAAGCATTTGACTAAAGTATACACGTAGAAAAAGTACACATTTACTTGCTTGTTTAGCCTTCTCAGAAATGAGATATTAACAAAAACAATAAAATTAAGAATCGGCTTTGTTACATTAGTGAGCCATTATCTCCCTTTTTTATATTAAAACAGATATATACTAAACACCTAGGTGTGATGCAACTAAGAAATTGCAAACAAGTTGCTAAGGCGGTTGCAAGAATAGTCAGATTTTATTAGAAAGGTTAAAACATCTTCGGGAACGATAACCGCTCGCATAGTTTCTACCAATTCGATTTTCCGCATGACCTTTACTCTCTGATTCGTTGCCATGTTTTTTAGTTCGCTAAATTGCTACATGCTCGAAGGTCATATTCTGCTAGTATAGTGACAACTTCGTTCGAGTTGCTTTTCCTACCACAATATCAAGTTACTATGAATACAGTGGTCTTCTGTATTCATAATACCAGTGTTGATGGTTGGAAGAAAGTTAGGAGCGGCCAAACCAAAACGTGGCATCAGTGCTTGAAGTAACTAACTTTTATTCTGAGCCATGTTGATAGATGCAGACCACTTGGTTGCGGTCCGCGTGACTATCGTAACCAATGGTTAGAGACTCTTGGTGAGATGGCTCAGAATCAATCACAATGGCGTCGGTGTATACACTCCCTGTCTCCCCTTAAACTAAGAGATTAAAATCGCTTTATATCTTTCTTTCTACGAACTAATTCTTTCTTCCTGTACCATATCCTTATTGCAATCTTTCATTTATACATTACCACCTTTGAATCAACTCCTTTTATGAATCCGGTGTCCATCTTGTTGTGTTAATGAGGTATGGCAACTTGGACCGATGCATATATGTGCCTGGTCCTACGTTGTAGCTGACTGACTGAGTGATATCAAATTACTTGCAATTCCATCTTCCTCCTGTCTTAGCTGTCGAGATTGGATGTGTTAAGTATAAGTGACTGTTGTCATTTCCCAAGAGAACTGATTGTATTAGAGAAGCTCAATCGTTTTCGTTCCTAAATCCGTAACATCGCAGGCCGTACTGAACACAAGTGTACTGTGTTTTAACTTATATTGGCTATTCAAAAGCCAATAATTCTTCTTCCCATGCATCAACAGACAGATGAAAATCTAAACACATGACCTGGTTGTTCACCAGACAATCTTACCGCTACCCTAGCAATTAATACAGAGAAAATAATTGAATCACTCAAAAAAAAAGCATAAACTAAAATAAAAAGGATTATTACTGTTGGGTACAAGTATTAAGCATAATTTTTACTCCCAATTCCTCGAGTAAACAATAAAACTTATAAATCAAAATACGACTCACAAAATCCTCTCCATTACGTAAATGAACTCCAACTACAGGTTTATTTAACCATCGATTTATAAAATTCTCGGTGACTAGATTAATATGACTATTCCATTCTAAATAACGATGGAATACACGGTTTTCAGGACGAACAGGGAAAGACGAAGGCGGTCCAATGAATGCAAGAACTGGGTAAGTTTCTGAAGGAAATCTATATTTTAGAAACATTTATGATATGCATTATAAAACTTACAACTGATCCCACTTCTCTTTAGGATCATCTGTACTTAGAGGAAAATAGAAACTAGAACCTGTGAAACTGACATTAAATTTATCCCAAAATTCTTTGAAAGGATTCCCGTTTTTAGCATTACAATCATTAAATAAAGGACCCGATCTAGGTCGAAAGCATAACGCTTTTAAGTGCGAAATAGCTTGAAAAAGGTACCTGTACGTTTAGCTGCTGGCCAGATGACAGGAGCTTCATTCAACATAAAACTTTCCAGTGAAACAAACTGATGAACTGGTACAAGTGTAGTGATGTTAAATAAGTTTCCAAAAGGCACAAAATTCTGAAGAATATTAAAATAACTGTAAAAACTTACAGCCTGTAAAGATGACATAATGTTCCACGGAGGCAAAACAAGAGTACGGTTTAGTTTAATTGCAAATGCAATCATACCTAGGAACTGTTCTATCTGGTTTCCAAGCCGACCTATTAAAATACAAGCGACCATTACACAAAACATACCCATGCATGGACAGTAGGTTATATAAGCAACATTACATTGTATCACATATTGACGAACAATCATGGTCCAACAAAGAATAAGTTTTATGTCGTCGATTCTCATTCTCTAAAAATGTTGAGTAAACCATCGTCAAATAATACAACTCAGAACTAATTGGAAAAAATTACACTTAGATAATAAAGTGAAGTCAACAAAAGTACTTTACAATTTTTCCTTACGGATATCTAATCGATCCAAAAGGTTTACGAATAAGTACTTGAGAAAGTATTCACGCCTAATAGTTACTTCAGTACAATACAACTTAACAAATAGGACTTGACAAGTGAAAATTTAATTAAAGAGCACATTATCAATCCAAGGTTCATTTAAAGAGTAGATTAAAATCAAAAGCTTATTAATATTTTACCATATACATTAGATATATTGCTCGCTTAAGATGATAAAACACCATGCTACTGCAAGTTTTCTTAGTATTAATTAAAATCAGGTATCAAAATCTTGGAAATTGGAACAAATATGCTCTCTCAATGATACTTAAAGATGGATATACCTTAGGATTGAAAACAACAAAGACTTTGGGGAAGTTTCGGGGTCAATATAGTAACTAATTAATAAACCACTACACTAATAACATAATGAACTGTTTGTTTGTCAGACTTGATTGTATTTATCTTCTAGTTTAGATGTATTTTAAACTACCCGAAACCATCATAGGTCAAAGCTTTTTACAAAGAGATGAAAATGTCCAAATTCAGAACCCGAAAAATAGCCTAAATAAAAGTGTAACTTCTTAATTGTTCAGTAATATGCTGACTGACTGAATATGCTAATTAACCAGTTAGTTGATTTCGTATGCATGCAAAAGAAATGACCTTTTCTTAACATTGGTGAATTTGTGATAAAATTTAGTACTTCCGATTTACGCTTATCTTGCACATATGTTAGCAGCAGCTCTGCTGTAGTTGTGATCTAGTCTCTAGAAGAATACTGTAAGTATCCCGTATTGTCCAATTTACCAGAATATATATAAACCTCACTCAACCAACCTCAGTCCATTAGTCAGCATAGTGGCTGACCGACCTATAAGATCTTAATTTTAGCAAGTTTTTAAACAGTGTGAAACGTTTGAATTTGTCACCCTAACCAAACAAACTTGATGGAAACTAGAGATAAAGACGTTTCCCCTGTCATTTTAGACCAACCTATTTGACAACTTACATACAAATTTAAACGTTGTAAACAACTTGAAACTTCGGGTGCTAGAAAAGTATGGGATTTACAACCCTGCTGTTCAGCATAAAATATAATTCACAGTGAAACACTGGTTCGTAAAAAGGGTTACAATTACACCGATGGTATGGAGCTACAATACTCACTGAATGAAAAGAGTAACCATGAATTATATATTAAAAGTCACTGTTTAGTCCCAAAAAGTAAAACGAAATGAATCAAGACTACACTTTAAGGGAGAGTTTATCTAACGAATAAATCTGCTGATTGACTCGAGTAATGTACATAGGTGAAGGGGTGAGGAGTAGTGCCTTCAAAATAATAGAATTTAACCTAACAGGAATCATATTAACCCAATATATATGTAAATTTCCTAATTCTTTATCGCTGGGGTCATAAGCATTTCAGTGTTACCTATCTATTAGGTATATTTAAGTCCTCAGTAGTTAGCCATAAGTATATCTGGGTAACCATTAGTGAGGTTTCATGAGTGCATGGCTGACAACATTTTTAGCCATGAAGTCATATCCCCCCGGTAGCATAAGTTTCAGTACGTAGAATATGCATTTTTACGCATTTTTCATTAGTATACTAACTTCTTATTTAGAAATTTCCTTCAGTCTACACTTAAGAAGTTGGCAATTATAAATGCCTCGGTTATGAAGGAGATTCTTATTGTGACCACCAAGTGGCTCATTAATAAAAAATTATACACGTATCCGGATAGCTTAATAGACATCGTGTTAAAGAACAGCGTAAAATGGGACGACAGTTGACCCACTGTCAAATGTGTCGTTTTGCACTATTTCGATCAGTTACAAATATATTATTTATTCCCCTGCAAACGATTCTGGTTGTGTATTAGACTTGGTTGTTATTGACCAGTGTAGTTGAATAAAGTAACTCATGATGAAACACCATTCCGTTGCACAAAGACAAACCCAGACGGTGAGCGAGTTATTAATGTTCACCTTCTGCAGCAACATGGTGAAGCAAACGCCTAATGCCTGTATGGTTTTGTCGATTTGGATGTCTCAGAAATGCAAGCTGGGCACATTTAGGGGGAATATCCAGAAATTGGGCTGTTATAATCTTTAAATTCTCCAAAGGTTAAGTAAGTCTATTATCTCTACAAAGTTGTATAGATAATTTCAACGGAAGTAGAACCGTTGCCATTAGCCAGTGCATTGACGCCTGGTAATCGTTCAACTTGAGATGATCATGTTTAGTTCGAAGGTCCTCAGTCTTACAGATTGTCAAGGATAAACGTGAACATGACGAAACTCCCAGCCAACATTGCCCAATCGTCAGCCAATATGATACAGATGTTATCATTAAAAAACACCTATATTAAATCATCAGTAAAAAGATTGACGAGGGATTAGCTAGGTTACAGTTCTCTTTACTAACAGCAGAATATTTAGAAGAGTTAGATGCAAATCTTTCTTCACCGAGCAGATACTTGACATAAATCTAAAAGTAAAATGGTTTAGTTTACAATTTGTTTACTTTCTATTTATTATTTATTTATTTATTTGAACACATAAATATTGGTACAAGAGAGCGCCAATATATATGCGCCACACAAAACAATGGGAATTCGAAGAGAAGAAAAAAAAAAAAAAACTAAGGAACGCAAAAGAAAAAGAGAGTAATGACGATAAGGTACAATCAGAAGAAATCTTTCAGGTAAAGGAGACACAACCACTTTTTATGAAGAAAGTAAAAGAAGGTTACAGCAGGATCGCCACTGGCTTCTATTCTGAGCCATATCTGATAACGTCTCTAGCCACTGTGTAGCACCATCTCTCGGACCCCAACCAGGGAGTCGTGAAGGACCAACACAAGCCAGTCCTTTGCAGCTTTCTTTCATGCCACGACACCATGTCATGCACTGACCACCTCTCCGCTTCTTCCAACCAGTCCCAGAGTCGGCAAATAATGCACGACGTGGAATTCTCTGGGACGACATTCGGAGAACATGTCCAAGCCACCGAAGTCGGTGTTTCAAGATGGTGACACCAATTGAGTTATCATCTCTGTGCCCGAACACACGATGCCGAACCTCTGCATTACTGACATGGTGTTGCCACTGGATGTCAGCAATCCTTCGGAGACAGCGATGATCGAACACAGAGAGTCGTCTAACGTCCTCAACTCGGAGAGGCCAGGTTTCACAAGCATAGAGCAAAACTGCTCTCACCGACGCGTTGTAGATCCGGCCTTTTACAGCCAGACTAACATCACGAAGGCGCCAAAGGTGGCCCAGATTGGCATAAGCCGCTCTGGCTTTCACTATTCGTGCATTGATCTCATCACTCACACCCCCACCAGCACTTATGCAGCTACCCAGATACACGAACTTCTCAACTACGTCTATCTGCTCACCATCCAGGGTGAGTACAGGATTAGAATCCTGCCAGTCTTGTAGAAGTACTTTGCACTTCGAAGGTGCAAAGCACATACCATACCTACGGACACTGATTGCCAACTGATTAAGTGCGGATTGCATGCCTTGGGCATTATCGCACAGTAAGACAATATCGTCCGCATACTCAAGGTCGAGAAGTCTTTCTCCAGGCAACAGATCCACACCACCATTACTTACATTCATCAGAGCTGTTTCCAGAATGTCATCGATGGCAAAGTTGAAGAGGAATGGTGAGATTGGGCAACCCTGCCTAACCCCACTGCTCGAATGGAACAATGGAGAGAGGTGGTTGTATGCCCTCACTCTGCCTGAGGTGTTTTTATACAGGGCTTTTAGGATGTTAATAAACTTCTCAGGCACACCCTTCTTCAATAGACAATCCCAGAGAACAGTCCTATCCAACGAATCGAAGGCAGCCCTGATGTCAAGAAACACTACGATTGTTGGCCTTTGAAAAGTATGGCGGTGTTCTAACATTTGGCGGAGGGTGAAGATATGATCAATACATCCTCGACCAGAACGAAACCCAGCCTGCTCCTCGCGAGTCAATCTTTCTCGGGTTTTGAACAACCTACGAAGAATGACGGAAGCCAATAGCTTGGACGCAATCGGAAGTAAACTTATCCCCCGATAGTTGTTACAAGAACGACGTGAACCCTTTTTAAAGATAGGGACAACTATCGACTCATTCCATGACGTTGGTACACTCTCTAGTTCCCAAACCTTTGTAAACAACGTCGTCAATTCCTTAGTCAAAAAGTCACCACCATCTTTAAAAAGAGCCGGAGGTAAGTCATCTGGGCCAGGTGATTTGTAACGCTTCAAGAGTTGGAGTTCCTTGCGGACTTCCTCCTCGTTTGGTGGATCAGTCGTCACCGGCCATGGAGGGCAGGACAGTCTGACCGATGTTGCCGGAGCAGCAGGCCAGTTGAACTGCCCTTCGAAAAATTCTGCCCATCGTCCAAGACGTCGATGGATGTTAGTGATTGGCATCCCATCATCCTCGCAGATTGTTTCACTCACACCAGACTTCTTGCTGCCAGTGGCTCGGATGAGTTGGAAGAGCTTCCGGTAGTTACCAGATGCAGCTGCTGCTTCCAGCTCATTAGCACGCATCGACCACCAGGCTTCTCGGTCCTTACGCAAGCTTTGCCCAATTTCCTTACGTAACATCCTTCGTTTATGGTCAAACTCACGGTCACCCGGAGTAGACCGACGGGCTTCAATGAGTTGTAAGGAACCAGAAGAAACCCAGTGCTTAAAAGCGGGACGTTTCGCAAACCCACAACTGACTGTTCCCGCCATTTTCATGGCGTCATGCAATTGCAACCAATGCTCATCTATACTTTTCGGTGGAGTGGTAGCTAGCCTAGAGGCTAGCTCGGTTCGATACTTACTTGCAACAGAAGTTGCAACCAGCTTGCTAACATCAATCCGTTGATGG